CCCATCTTCCTTCCAAGGACTGGCTGGTGGGTTTGAACCACCAGCCTTCTGGCTAGCAGTCAAGTGCCTTAGGCACTATGCTACCAGAGCCCAATGATATGTGGTTCAAAATCACTCTCTTCTGCCTGTGCTCTTCAAGTTTAAAGATGCTCAGAATCATATCCCGCAGCTGAGAACGGCCAGGAAAATGCTGAGGTCTGAAGGTACTTAAGTTCGTTAGAGGAGAAGCTGTTGGTTCCTAAGGTTCCCTATGAGCCTGGCCCTTAGGGCTACAGAGCTTTTTTTTTAAAAAAAAAAAAAAAGTGGCAGAAACAACACAAAGACCCAACTACTTGATTCTTCTAGCTGTACTCAGAGCCTAATCCATGTGAATAAGACTTAAGTGTAGAATTTTTTTTTTTTTTCTGGCCTGTGGCAGAACTGAAGCCAAGAAGATGAGAGGCTGCGGTTGTAGCTGGAAGCAGACATGGAAGCTAGCAGTCTGATCCTGAGGGAGGTGGTCAAAACGAAAATCAGCCACAGATTGCAGAGCCCTGTGCCCTTGGCCATCCAGGCAGTCAGAGTGGCCTCGGAAAGTGTCAGGTGTGGCACTGCAGCACAGGAGTTGATGTACAGAGTGATATGCTGTGGTGACAGCTATCACTGAGTACCTCCTACATGCTTGAACATTACAAACGGTATGTCACTTAATTTTAACAGCTGTGCAAGGTGGATATTAGTCTTAGTTAATAAATGAGAATAATGGTGCTTGGAGAAGTTAAGAAATGAACCATGAAAGGGGAAAAATTTGTTCTCTTTATTTTGTGTAAGAAAATGGAGAAAGGTAAGTACATTTTAGATTTGTATAAAAATGGTCAAGCCAAACTCATGGATACTGCATTTATATTTTTCTCAGTACTGCTGGATATCTGAAGTATTAGATTTTCTTTAGAAAAATAATAGTGTGGGTTAAGAGTGTGGTAGTAAGTCCTATTTGTTTATTTTCCCCAGATTTAGAGTTTGTACATAACCAAGAACATTTTCTACCTGAACAGTGGCCTAGTTTCTGTGGAAAGCATAACAGGACATTACTAAAAAGTAAAGAGGGTTTTGTTTTGTTTTTGTTTATTTGCTAATGGTCAGATTGAAGACATATATCTGTTAAATGTCCCTAACAGTGTGGTCATATGTCTAGGATAGTGCTGGTTTACACCTATTGCTTTGGTGTAATGATTATTAAAGCTCCCTGTTCCCAAACTGGCCCAGTTTAGACCATAAGTTATTTGGTCACCCAAACCACAGACGGTGCAGGGAGAATGGTGTTCACCGAACATCTCTTCTAGACGCCAGATAGGCCTTCACTCAGCACACCTCCCTGGGCCCAGCTCGTAGAACTCACACTCCAGTAGTCACAAAGCTAAGGAGAGAAATTCCTTGTGGTCTGACATGACCAGGAAAGAGGATCCTCTGGCTGGATCACCCACTTAAGGTGCCAAGCTAATCAGTTGCTCTCTAGACCAAATACCTGCACCCAGAAGTATGACTGCATGTTCTGCTACAGTGCCCAAAGGTCACTGCAGATCCAGTGCAGGGCACTGGTCAAGTCTGCAGCTCAGACCAGTTCTGTGAAATGGAAAGCCAAGAGAAAAGAGTAGGGATGGCAACAAAAACCAGTCCCGTGATTTCAGTCATCCTGGGTTGTGTGGGAGCTCTGGTAGCATAGTGCCTAAAGCATTTGACTGCTAACCAGGCGGTTAGTGGTTCAAGTCCACCAGCCACTCCTCGGAAGGAAGATGGGGCAATATACTTCCATAGTGATACCACCTTGGAAACCCAAGGAGGGGTCGCTATGAGTCAGATCCCACTCAACGGCAGTGAGTTTGGTCTTAGTTTGGGTTGCATGTACACATATAATTGTTATCCCGAAAAGACAGGGTACTCTGAAAAGAAGAGCTTATCAGAAATGATCAAATAGTACATAAATGTTTTTGATACATATATATTCCTGATACAGAAACCAGCCAAGAGCCAGGGCAGCTGGAGCCATTCTGGCAGAAATGGTTTCCATAGCCCGCTTTTTGTTCTCAAAAGACTAATGTTCAAAATAAACACTCACGTGGCAATGTACATCCCAGCTTCATTAGAATACCTGAACATGCCATATATCTTCATACCTTACTGCTTTTTCCAGTGCCACTCCTGCCAAGAATGTCCGTCCCTTCCTTGTCCAAGTGGAGAAATTCTTAGCATGCTGCAAGGCCCACCTTCCCTATGAAGTATTCTTGCATGTACTTTGGCAAAAAATGCTCTCTCTCGTGTTCCCACAGTTTTGAGTCCATATCTCAATTACAACCTAAAGCCTTATACAAAAAAAATAAACAGCTACCATTTTTTAAGTGGTTATCATGTATGAGATAGGACCAAGACTAATACTGTTTTGCATGCACTAATTTAATCTTCATAATTAATAACTATTAATGGGAAATTATTACTACCCCTACTTTACAGATGAGAAAGCCAAGGCTCAGAGGGGTTAAGGAGCTGACTTGAAATCCCACAGCAAAAATGTGTAGGAATGGAATCAGCACCCACATTTCTCATGTAGGATTCATGACCTTAAACCCTATATGGCTGCCTCTGATTTCATAATTCATTTTACCTGTCAGGCTCCCATGTTAAACTGAGTCTTCTGAGGGTAGGAACTAAACCTTTTGTTCCCAGTATCTAGTACTCAGCAGTATCTGCTAAATAAATGGATAAAAGGCTACAAGGAAACAGAAGTACTTCTTTCCAATAAGGGAGTTATATCCTAAGGCAAAAAAAAAAAAGGTATTTCAACCTTTGAACCAGGGACCTAGAACTTTCCTCATAATCTCCCCCTCATGGTGAATGAAGGGACAGCGTGGAAGACAATCCAAACAGTGAAGACCACCAGCATTTTTTTACCTTTTGCATTACATCTAGATTGTCTCCAGTACATTTTAAACTGCATCCTTTACAACGTGAGTCAAATGTGCCACACACACACCCCACAATGTATTTTCCACTGCGGCAGAACATGGAGTCATACTTCTGGGTGCAGATACTTGGTTCCACACAAAGAGGGCAACGTACTTTTCATAGACAGAATCTTCGATCACATTGCTGTGTAGTTCAATTACCTGACAAGAAATGCCAGTAGTTAACACATTATCTTAATATGATCCCATCTTCCAAACCAAACTTACTGCCGTCGAGCTAGATCTGACTCCTAGCAACCCCTCCTTGGGTTTCTGAGGCGGTATCACTACAGAAGTAGATTGTCCAACCTTCCTTCCGAGGAGTGGCTGGTGGGTTTGAACTGCCAACCTTCTGCAGTCAAATGCCTTAGGCACTACGCCACCAGAGCTCCCTCTATCTTCCAACAGGGTTCTATATGCTTACGTGATTTGAACTCCCTGGCATCTTATTCAGGCCAGGCACAACAGAACTTTTAAAAGCCACTAAGGGGTCGCTGTGAGTCGGGGCCGACTCGATGGCACATAACAACAACAACAACAACAAGAGCTACCTTTATGTAATGTAATTTGCAGGTCTTCCACATTTTATTACTGGGAATGTCCTCGGGAATAGGCCTGCTTTAAACTCTCAGGTCTTGCGTGTAAACTGTGAATTTACTCATCCTTCTTGTTATTAACGGTACCGTCTTGTCTCAAGAAGACCCGTAACAGATGGCAGTTCAGGCGATTAGATTAGGCCTTTAGTTTGGTCAAAATCTACCCTAGCCTAATCTACCTTATTTGCCCATCTCTCTCAAAAGACTCTGCTATGTCAATATAGAACTAATGGTCTCTTCCCTTTGCATTGCTATACTGGTTCTCTGCGGCTTCCCTGCTGGGCTGGCACTTTGTATACAAGCTCAGTCCTCATTTCTGTTTCAACGGTGTTTCCTGTGGGGTGAAGACAAACTTCCCTGAGGACACAACATTACGAAACAGCTTCTAGGCAAGGATTTTCAGTAAGGGTAGGTAGGGGTCCTCTTACTTGTCTGCTGGCTCCTTGGCCTTCTGAGCACCTCACAGCAGGACTACCACCCTCTGGCAAGCCTTCCTACAGCCTCAAACCTTGGCTTTGCAGGGCAGGGTCTAAAGTCTCCATCTAAAACTTCCTCTGACCATTGAAAACCAAAAGTACAAAGATGCTTCTGGGTTTGGCAGTTGTGTTACGGAGAGCAAGGATAAAGGAAGCCAGAGAGCCAGGCACTACCAGGGCAAAACAGTTCCCCAGACAGGTGTCTGGGCTCATTCTCACGTCACCAGGAGTCTTCTGCTGTTCTGGATGTTCGAGGCAGCATGGAGTGAACCTAGAAAGGCTGTAGGTGTGAGGAAGAGGCTTAAACTCAGAGAACTGTCTTACCCTTTCTGGGTTCATCATCCCCACAAAGTGTTCTCTTCTCCCCAGGTAGCCACTAACCTGCTCAAGGCCCAAAGAATAAGGCATCTTGGAATTTGAAATCTTCACTCTTGCAACCTTAAGTCGTTATGTGTAAGCTGATGTGTATTCTCAGGTAAAGCATCTGTTACACCTAGTAGGAAGAGTCGGACCTTTGCCTGAGTGGTCCCCTCTGTAATTACCATGGACCATATGTAATTAACTCAATGGATCAACTCTCTGATGGGGGAAAGGCAGGAAGAGAAGAGTGAAGTTATCTTTTGTTCACACTAATTTCTATGGTGTTTTACAAGGTGACAGGTGTGTGAGCACCAGGAAGGATACATGATATCCATGGTAATGGCCTGATAGCTACAATATTTGACACAGAGAATGAAGTATAGGGCACAGGGCCAAGGATGAAATCTGAGAGAAAAGAAAGGTTACCTTGGGAAGAGAGTAACAGACACTTCACCAACCTGGCTGTCTTCATTCTAAACTCTGGAGGTTCCGCTTCCTCAGCATGCCACCCGTGTGTGCTTTATCAGCACTGAGGCCCGGGCCTTCATCTCCGAAGTCTTGGGGCCACTCCGCTTTGGTGTCTTCCTCTTGCTCACTACAGTTGTCTGCCCTGAATCCAGCATTCTCTGCCAACACAGCAGGATCCTCTTCTTCATGGAAACAGCAGGAACATGTTTCTTGCTTTGGGTCACACAAGGTAACAGAATTATCTTCCTGGGCTCGAGGATCAGTGGGCAGACTTTCCCAACCCAAATGGTCTCGTTCTTCTAGCATTCCCATTCTCTCAGCTATTTCTTCAGCAGAAGGCTCTTTCAGGTCTGGATAATCCACCAGGATTGTTTCTTGCCTACGTCTGATGCAGTCTGAAAGGTCGTAAACTGGGTAAGTCTCTTCAGGGTAACCTAGAGAGAAAAGTAGCACAAAGTCATACAAAGAATGTCTCTTAAAAAAAAAAATAAAGTGTCAGGCTCAAAGAGGATTCTCAGGCAGCAGCCATCCTATCCTAATAAATCCATTCAAGAAATCCCTGAGATGATGCTAACAGTTCTGAAGTTTCACTTGAGCAAGTTCTTGGCAATCTGGCTGACTATCCCAGTGCTCTTTGAAATATAAACCAATTCAGATGAAAATCCTTTCTTAAGTGTGGGGTGCTTGGGGCAGAGCATAAGTCTCACACTGCATGCTTCTGCAGTACCGATGAAGATTAAGCAAACAACACGAGTTTCAGGTTTTTTTTTTTTTTTTTTTAATGTACAAAATGCCAGATGGAGAAAGCATAGCTCAAGGCTAATGTTTATAACTTCTATTTGGAACCATTTTCAAATCTTGGATGTGGAGGGGGAAGGAGAGAGAGGGCGGGAGGAATGGAGGAGGAGGAAAGGGACTCAAAGCTCTGAAAATACGCTATGAAGCCTTCTAATTATCAAAACAATTGAATGGTTTGCAAGTGTCAGAAATGGAGAGCACTTTAACAAGCCATGTCCAAGATCCCCAAGGACAAGCACTGCATTTTCAGAGACAAAATTCCCATTGTTGGCTTCTTCATCTTCACAAAATGGAACAAAAGAAAATAACAAACTGGTAAACAAAACGAGTAATACTGGTACTGAATCCCAGTTATGATAATGAGAAGAAAGAAAATGTTGCCAAATTAAGAAAAGAAATGAAATAAATCTGTGTCAGCCAAGCTGCGCCTGAGTGGCAGATGGGCCGGGCTGGGGCTCATATGCCAGTGCTGGCAACCACTGGCACTCACTACACAATGTGAGAAGCTGGAAGACTCCAAGCCCATTTGCACATTATGATAATTGGCAAATTCAATTCTAACACAAACCACTTTCTACCTACAGATTATGAAAAGTAGGGGTCTTTTTTGATGTACAGTAGGGTTTGGGGAGACATTTTCACAACATTTACTGTTTTTTTCTGATACATAAACTCATTGTAGAAAATACGTAAAATAGAGGCAAGTTTAAACAAGAAAAAGCAAATCACCCAGAATCCCACCACTGATAATAATTTGTTGTATTTACTCCTGGCCTTTTTGACTTGTGTTGTTGTTGTTATGTGCCGTCGAGTCGGACCCAACTCATAGCGACCCCTCGTTCGGTTTCCGAGGCGGTATCACTAGGGAAGTTTCTCTGCGACCCCATGCACAACAGAACAAGACACTGCCCGGCCCTGCACCTTCCTCAGTCGTTGCTGCGTGAGCCCACTGTTGCAGCCACGGGTCAGACCATCTCATTGAGCAAATTCCTCTTTTTCACTGACCGACTACTTTACCAAATACTATGTTCTTCAGGGACTGGATCCTCTTGATAAAATGTCCAAAGTATATGAGATGACGACTCGCCATCCCTGTTTCTAAGGAGCATTCTGGCTGTACTTCTTCCAACACAGATGTGTTTGTTCTTCTAGCAGTCCATGGTATATTCAATATTCCTCACTAACACTATAATTCAGAGGCCTCAGTTCTTCAGTCTGCCTTATTCATTGTCTAGTTTTTGCATGCAGCTAAGGTATACCTGGTGTAGCTTAGTCCTCAAGGTGACATCTTTGCTTTTTAACACTTTAAGGTCTTTTGTAGCAGACTTGCCCAGTGTAATATGTTGTTTGATTTCTTGACTACTGCCTTCCATGGTTGTTGACTGTGGATCCTAATAAAATGAAATCCTTGACAACTCAATCTTTTCTCCATTTATCATGCTGCTGCTTATTGGTCTAATTGTGAGGAATTTTGTTTTCACACGGCATATAAAATGTTGTATCCTGATTTTTTTCATTCACAATTTTATCATGAGCATTTTTCCATGTCATCAGGCATTTTGAAATTGGCTTCAAAATAGTTCACCATACAGCTGCAACATAATTGCATGATTTACCATTCATTCCTCTTAAGATATTTAGAATCTTTCCAATTTTCCTCTATTATAAGTAACGTTGCAATTAAGATCTCTGAATATAAATCTATATCATCTATTTCTTTAAGACAGACTTCTAGAAATATGAAAATTAGAGCAAAGGGAATGAGGATTTTAAAAGCCTTTTTTACACTCTGCCAAATTACTTTCCAGAAAAGGGATATAAATTTTCAATCCTACTATGGTGTGAAAACTGCCCATCTTATTACACCCATACCAGTATTGAGCAGTACCCATGCCCATCAAGTCAAGTCTGACTCACAGCAATGCCACAAGACAGAGAGAACTGTTCCATACGGCTTCCAAGGGTGTAAATCTTTATGGAAGCAGACTGCCTCATGTGTCTCCTGTGGAGTGGCTAGTGGATTCGAACTGCCGACCTTTTGGTTAGCAGCCAAATGTCTTAAACACTGTGCCACTGGAGAACAGTAGTATATTAAAAATCTTGCCAATGTAGTATTCTTTCCTAGGTTTAATTTACTGTGGACAGTATGCCAGGAGCTTAGCTAATGAAGGCCTCTACAGCCTCCTTGGCCAAGGGCAGAGGCTGGGGAAGTCTGCATGCCCATTAACTCTTAGCCACTGAACACTTAAGTCCATTTGCTGCCATCTCCCTGCCATCTCACCACCAAGGACAAAACTTGCCCTTGGACTTCTATGGATATCTGCTTTGGTTTAACAAGAGGAGTGAGGAAAATCAAATAGTAACTCACACAACTGCTAAAATAACCCACATCAGCCAACGTTACTGTTTACACAAGAACTTCAAAACATGAGTAAGCAACAAAAATTTACTGGTCCTATGAGGAAATTAACAATTCAAAACAGGAACCAAATTAAGCAAATTACACAAATAGCCCCTAATTAAACAGTCAGTGCAAGAAATAGGAGTTAATGTCAACTTAAAATTGATATTCCCAGTAATATTTAAGAAGACACTGCATTGATAAAGCCAAACCAGGCTTGAATGAAAATGGAGGAAGCAGGAAGTAAGAAAGAGACGTCAGAAATAGCAAGTCATAATTACAAGCAGAATTTTAAACTCAATAGAGGAAGAAAATAGATTGAAATGGACATGATTGAAAACCAAATTAATGTATTAGATAGAAACCATATTGAGGAATTCAAGGAAGAGATAAACCACCTACACAAACTCTTCCAGAAAACAGAGGAGGGAACACACCCCAAAGCATTTTATGAAGCTAGTATTATGCTGAAATATAAACCAAACATTACAATAAATAAAAACCACAGACTAATATTCCTCATAAAAACAGACACAAAAAGTCCTTAGCAAATTGAATAAGTATGTTTTATCCCAGGAATGCAAAGTTGTTTTACTATTCAAAAGTCAATCAGTGTAATTCACTATATTAAAAGACTAAAACAGAAAGATATGGTAATCTTAGTTGATTTGGAGAAAAAAGCAACAACAAAAACCCACTGACAGAAGTCCGATACTCATTCATAACTAAATTCATGATTAACAACTCTAAGTAAGACTAGAAGGAAGCTTCCTCAACCTGAAACAGCATCCATGAAGAATCTCACATCACACCAATGGAGAACATCTGAGCGCTTTCTCCTAAATGTCAGAAACCAAGGGTGTTTGTTCTCACCACTTCTGTTTAACATTGTGCTGGAGGTTCTAGCCAGTGCAATAAGGCAAGAAAAAATAAAAGGCATATAGCTTAGAAAGGAGGAAGTAAAAATTATCTTTATTTGCAGAAAATCTGATTGTCTATGTAGAAAATCCTAAGAAAGCTAAAAAAATTTAAAAGCTACTAGAACTAACTAATAAAGGAGTTCACCAAGGCCATAAAGGAGTTCACAAGGTCATGTTGCAAACGTCAATTGTATTTCTCTTTTGTAATGACAGATAATTAAAATGTTAATAAAAATAACCGCTTACAATAACATCAAAAATATGAACTATTTAGGAATATAGTCACAAAATATGTATAAAAAAAGAGATTACTTGTTCATAGATTGGAAAAGTCAGTATTATTAAGATGTTCCACCACCCCACTGCCGTCGAATCAATTCTAACTCATAGTGACCTTATAGGACAGAGTAGAACTGACTCATAGGGTTTCCAAGGCTGCAAATCTTTAAGGAAGCAGACTGCCTTATCTTTCTCCTGCGAGTGGCTGGTAGGTTTGAACTGCCGACCTTTAACCACAGAGCCAGCAGAGCTCCTACTAAAATGTCAGTTCCCTTACATTGATCCAGAGATTCAACATCCCATTAAGTGTTTTTGTTTTGTTTTGTTTTGTTTTGTTTTTAAGAAATGAACACACTGATAAATGTGAAGGCTCTAGAACTAATAAAAATAATTTTGGGAAAAAAATGTGAAGAACTTACACTATCTGAATTAATATAAAACTACAGTAATCAAGACACTATGATCTCAGTGTAAGTATAGATGAACAGAACAGAATGGAGAATCCAAGACAGACCCACACATTGATTTCAACCAATGCATCAAAGTAATTAAATGCAACAAAAGGATCTGGAACACTTGGATACGAATAAAGGAATGAAGAAAACAAGTAAAACCTTTGTTCTGACCTCACATCTTATATAAAAATTACTTTAAAAATGGATTATAGGCCTTAATGTAAAAGCTAAAACTATAAAATGTCTAGGAAAAAAAATAGAAAAATATTTAGAGGACTTTATGCTGAGTGAAATTAGTAAATCATAAAAGGACAAATCCTTTTATTGTATGAGACCACTACTATAAAAAGTCAAGCAAGAAACATTCTTTGATGGTTACCAGGGGTAGGAGGGTAAACCACTAACTAGAGAATTGACACATACTTACCTGGGCAAAAGGGAAGGTAATTTACAATAAGAGAGAGGTCAGCACAAAAAGACCAAGGCAAAAGAAGACACTGGGTGGAGCACAAGAGTTAAGGCAACAGAGGTAAATACTATTACATACACAATTCTGCAAAACAGTAATAACAACAACAGTC